AATTTTTAAAGTAAGTATTTATCGTATAAATACAACACCCGTACATACTAATTGCGAATTAACAGATCGCCATCTTTAAAATATGCATCATATACAAATTTTGATTTGTTATAATAAAGTAAATACTAATACGAAATATTTACCGAGTGTCTTGAACTCCTTCAACAAAGATGTGGATTGTGGGAATCGGTTCCCGGTTGTAACTTCAACGGCTTGAGGTTACTCGCTTTAGGAATCCAAATGTCTTCCCTCTAATCGTATCCACCCTATGAAGCCCGGTTCCGACGACCTTTCTTCGCTAGTAGAAATGTCTCGGTTTTCTTGTATAGGAATATATATATATAAATATAATTTGGGAATTATCAAGAACACTTTCTTGAAATATATGAAGAACACTTTCTTCTCTCTTTGATTTTCTCACAAAATCACTTCACATCTTTGCAAACATTTTGCATCTATTTATACTAAACATTTTAGCATAAAATAATCAATATTTAGTAATATTTAAATAAAATCAAATTTTATTTAAATAGTATTTACTAACCATTGACTTTGAAAATAATAAGATATGTTAAGTAGTTCAAACAACCATTAACAACCATTTTATTATAATCATATTTCTTATTTTAATCCTTAAATCATATTTAAAGATATAAATAATAATTGGATAATAAATCTTGAGAATCTTTCTCAAGACTTTATTATTATATCATTTTCCCAATCTTATAATAATCATATTATTATTATTTTGGATTTGAAATTTAAAATCCTATTTTAAAATTCAACTTTATTAATTTAGTAATTACTTTAATTACTAAAGTAATATCCAAAATGTAATTAATCAATCTTATTGATTAATATATTCCTTTAATTGACATCTAATCAAATTAGATATTTATCAATTAATTCTAACCATTAGAAATACAATCTTTACCTTTGTTCATAATTAGTGTGACCTTTTAGGTTCACTATTAATACTAGTAGTGGGTTTACAACACTTTGTAATTTGAGTTAAATCTTATTAACTCTTATTCAAGAATTAACCCCTTAATTCATGAACCCACATATCATGGTAACACCTAGCAAGTATCATGAATCTAGTATTAAGTGAATAGCGAGTAAACCTATTCCGATTACAACTCCATACATGTAAAATCCTTTCGACATCTAATTTCCCGATTAAGTCTTGGGTATGATTTTGTCGAAACCCAAATTGACTTAATAACTATGATTCTATTTCATGTTTATTAACCCGGTTATGAATCACTATTCATCTCTGCCTTGGCCAAGGACTTTGGATTAATAACTATGAAACACATAGGAAATTCACTTATCTTCATAAGTGTCGAATCCTTTATTGGCCACTAACAAACTTCCATACATATTAACATAATACCCAACTTATCCCTTTAAACGATAGTGCTAGCTACCAAAAGGATAAATCAAAGTAGAATGTAATATGCACAAAGTTACCATTGTGCCTCAAGTCTTAGGATTAGTCATGTACTATTGTAACATGAAAATTCTTATTCGACTGAATAAATTCTTCATTAAGAATTTTCATACGGTCATGTTCAGTGAACTTGTTCTCTAACAAGCACCCACATAAATGTACTTACGTCTTACGCTAATGCTGATGGAATGCAACATTCTTGTCCAACAAGCATACAAACTATGTGCAAGTCTTTTATGGATTATTCGATATCCCATCTCGAAACATCCATCGACTTGGAACTGTATTTAAGATCACGGCTTTCAAGGTATGTTCCATGATCACCATCTCTATGCGCAACCATACCTTATAACCATAAGTGATCTAGGGATTTTATCTTAAGTGCAATTATAAGATAAATGCTTTCTCTTAAGATAAAGAAATGCCTTATTCATAATATAATTCCAATAGACTGTATTTACAAGTAGAATACGTCCAATTAGATTGGAACGCCGGGTACCCTACTCTAACACTTACATGTGCAAAAGAATAGCAAAATTGAATTATACAAGTAATCTTGAGGCATGTTCATTACCTGCTGCAAACATTTACACCGCCCAACGGGCTTTGGGCTAAACAGTCCTGGTCTAAAAAGCCCTGTTTACACGGGCTACCAATAAAGGGCTCTAACCCTATTTTTTTCGGGCTAAACAGGCTGCCCGTCTGGCTAAAGACCATTTAACATCTCTAGACGCCACCCTACACCCCTGCTTGGCCAATTTAACATCTCTAGACGCCACCCTACGCCCCTAGCTAGCATATAGAAATAATGCGCCATCACATATTTTATGTATAAATATCGACCCTCAGGTCCATCATCAAAGGCAGCACAATCTCCACCATCATAATCTGCCCTTCTCTAATCACTAAGATCACATTCTTCACCCCATCTCTCTACACAAGTACATGATGGATCTCCCAATGGTCATATTAAAAAATAATTCATTACAAAAATACTTCCCATATTCGGTTTTGTTCAATATACTAATTTTATAATAAAAACTCAGAAAAACAATCTCGGTGTCGATCGGCCCATCTTATCTGCAATATCGATGCCTTGCTATTATTACTCATATTTATTTTATCTTGATATGTTCACATTTAGTATAATTAAAATATACTATAATAGTTGGCAACCCAGCGTAAAATTGATGCACATCCGCCACTTCCCTTCACTCTTTTTTACCATGACTGCGGGGGAACTGTATAGGCTCGATATGTCCTGCCTTAATAACTTGTTGACCGCTGTCTCAATTACCTGGTCCAGCTCGGCCCCGAAGTGTCTTTTGTTCTGCTTGACTGACTTAACCGCGGGATCAATGTTAAGTCGGTGTTTGATGATTGTCGGGCTTATGCCCGTCAAGTCATCTGCTAAAAATGCAAATATATCTACAAATTCTCTCGGCACTCAAGTATATCTGGATGTCCTCCGAGAGGTGGCGACCTACTTTTGTGACTTTGCTGACTTTCCCTTCCACAAGTTCTACCCCCATAAAGCTTGTCTTGAGACGAGATCCGCAGCTTTTTTTGCTTTTCGCCTTTACCTGAGCTCTTTGTATAGTCTGCCTTTGCATTTTTATTTGCTCCCTGAGCTTCTGAGTTCTTCATTATGATCTAGTAACATTGCCGAGTCTGCTGTCGTCTCTAGAGACCTCTCTGACCTGGTTTCCCACCAGGAACTTCACCTTCAAACAGTAGGTTGATACTGCTGCTTGAAATTAATTCAGACTAGGTCATCCTAGGATGACATTATAGGTTACGGTTGTATCCCACAACATAAACCTGATTAGCCTTCTCGTTCTCATAGGTAGCTCGCCAAGTTTACCATTAGATACACCTAGGCTACTGGTTTGACCTCTTCTCTGGCAAAATGATAGAGGGCTATGTCAACTGGCTCCATTCTTTTTTCTAGACCAATCTGCTTCAGACAATTGAGGAAGATCACGTGAGCTGAACTGCCTGTGTCCACCACAACTCTTCATACTACGTAACTTTCATTTTATGCGCTTATGACCAACCCATCATTGTGTGGGAGTAAGATGTTTACGGAGCCTTCCAGCCCAAACCGAGAATGGCCTCAGGTGGTCCTCTATAAATTTCTACCAACCCATTCTCGCGGTCTTGTTCGCTGTAGATTTTTTGTTCAGGGAGCTCCTCAGTTATAACTTGAATTCATTTTCCTTTGGAGTCTCTTGTTGTTGCCGTTGCCTTCATAGTTACTTGCGCACTTCTTAAACTGCCATCTGGATCTCTGAGTTGTGAGAGTATCGTCAGCCCTTATAGTCATTAAGAGACTGAGAGATCCCCACAGATGGCGCTAATTTGATACGTCGCCTTTGGTCACGATCGGGTTGGACACCTTCCACCTTGAATGATCCTCTTCCTTGAGCTCCCGATAACCTACAATACGCCAAAAGGGAATCTTGGCAGAAAACTCTCTGACGCTCATGTCAGAACTCGCTCACCTGTGGATACAAAGTATAAATAATAGGTGTGGATTGTGTGTTGTGTAAATGGAGAGAACATGTCGTCCATATATAGGACTTGAAACCTTCGGGCCGAAGAGATTTCTTGTTAGGAAAGAGATCCACTAGATTCTACTTCCATAACTTACCACGCCTCTATCTTGGCAAGAGTTCTTGAGCGAGTGATTTTTTCTTACTTACTTGAATTCTTCCCCTCTTTGCTTTTTTACCCGAGGATTCTTAGGTCGTAGGTCCAGCGTCCCATCCTATCGGTTATGTCTCTACTGAGGACGACCTTGACCTTGTCCTGAGGTCTAATCCAACCTCACCTATAGGTCCATCTTGTCCAAGGCCACTCAACCTTAATACATATCGAGGTCGGTTATCTTATGAAGGTCCTAGAGGTCAGTACCTCCAGGTCGTGTTTGTTTTGCCTTTTCGGCACCCTTAACCCGTGCCCGAGCATCTTGTCCTTATATTAATCGGGAGTTCTCTGAGCCCAGCCACAGCCGAGCTACTCTCTTAGACCGATGTGTCGAGCTATTTTTGGGTGTTATATCACTCTCAGACTTGTATTTTTTTATTACTACTCTCTTATCATTCTCTTAGAACATTTTTTTTCTGTCAATTTTCGGTAGTTTGATTTGCTATTTATAGGATCTTGTTCGAACTCTCGATATATTAACGTCATTAACTAGACGTGTTGAGAATGTTTTTTGAAATTGTATAAAAAACATTGTGCTAGTGGATTTTCATATGTTGTCTTAGTTTACAAGTGTTACTCACTTGTTGGCTAAATATTAATCATTCGTGCTTATTTATTTCCACCGTGAATTAAATCTTGTGTGAAATCTGAATTTTTTGGTATCTAAAATTCTTAGGCAACCCTCATAACACAAGTTTCTTAGGAGGACAAAGAGACACATTATGGGGCATTGTGAAATGGAATAAGTTTCGGCATAATACGACATGGCTTTGAAGGTGAGAAACAATGGATTTGATGTGTCCTCATGGGAAGGAAGTTTTAAATATATACCATACCATAAGAACTGAGATACATAACAATGATTTATCCTATTCATCAAAACACTATGAATTTAATACCAAAGTCAATGTCCAAATACAAAATAAGAATACAATAAGCATCAAATACAATCGTTAAAAAAATCATGAAAACACAAATATACTATATAGCAACAATACAATGTTGAAGATAACATTATGGAATATGGTTGCAGCATTTAGAATCAATGATTGTAAACTGGGTTTGTTATAGTATATCATCGTCCTGTTTACGTTTGAGAAGCACAAATAAATTAAGCGACGATGCAGAGAGTAAACGAAAAGTCATTTTGACAAGTTTGCGGGTTAAAAGAGTATCAAAGATTTTATCAGAGATTTGTTGCCCAAACTGAGTGCTTATGAGGTGCTCGAACGCGGCTCTGAAGGTGAGAGACACCTGTTTGAAGCTACGAAAATGGAGAATATTATTGATTGGGGGCAAACTTTCCATCCTCTCGATGCTGAAAAGTGCGTTGAGCTTCACAATCTCTTCCAACTCTTGTGTCGACGTATAATACGTTGGACAGTTGAACTCGTCCACCTTCTCTTCATCAATTATTCCCTATACATTCAAGAACATACCCATCAATATTCACTACGGCTAACTAAGATACATATTATTAAAAATGGCCAGCATAGTTGACAAATTTTGAAGTTTCTCCAATTTAATTTGCATACGAGATTAATTAAACTAAATTTACCTTTCTGGCCAAATCCATCAGGCAGTCCTCCAGCGCATCGACCACCACGTTTTGTCCGACCCGAGAGTGGGGGACCCCATTTGGTCGAGCCGGGAGGATGAGCATGAGCAGTCCTCCCGGGACGACTTCCTCCGCCCGAGCTTCTAGAAACTTTGACACATCCTGCGCATGTTGTCGAGCGTACGCATCGACTACTGCCTGCCCAGCCCTGGAATAACCGATCCTGCCTCTGTTCTCGACAGAGGGAGATCTGGAGAGCCAGTGCAGGGCAGTGGAGCAGTGCACGATCTGGAGGGAGCTGCGCGGGAACAGGCGTTGGTAGAACGAGCCAGGGACACCAACTGCGTGGTAGTCTCTGTCGGGAGGGAGAGAGCTGAAGAGGGTGTTGAAGTCGTTGTCCACTTGGTCGCTGAAGTAGACTTGGAATTCCTTTTGTGGGTGTTTGAGCTTGATGGCCTCCACGATGTTGTGGACGGTTATAAGAGTGTTGGGCCCCACAGAGCAGCCTAAGTCGGCGATGGCGATGGTTGGTGAAGAGAGGGAGTCTGTCGAGTGTTGGGCTATGAATTTTTGGACAGCCGATTTGGCGTTATTGATCACACTTCTCTGCAGTCGGAATANCAAAAGTCATAATTTTAGCAATTGAAATGTGATAATTAGAATGTATTTATGAGGGGACGGCTTTGATTTGATATGATACATTACCTGGTAGGAGGAATTTTTTTGGTAGCTCTCAGCGCCATCTCCTCCATTCATAGCAAAACCATTAGTCGAAACCATTTTAATCTCTCTCGCTCTCTATAATGTCCGTGAGTGAGTGAATGGGTATGCAATTTACATATAGAATCACATTATTAAATACTGAAGAGTATCCCCTAATTTTTTAATTTTAATTTGGTGGTGAAATTGAGCAGGCCTATTTTATAATACCAATGTGAGTCGTGTGGCAAACAAAATATGACAATACCATGTGATTAATCGTGGCAACTAGTACAATACGTGTTGTCATAAATGATAGGCGATACAAGCTGTCCTGATAGTTAGAATTATATTATCTCTATCTACCTATATATAATAAGAATAATTAGTGCGCTGCCCTTGCGATGCACGGGAAAACAATATTACGATTGTATTACAAATTAAATATATAAATAACATTAATCATGATTTATTCATTATAATCAGTCAAGTTCGCTTGAATAAAATATTTGCTTCCGAATCCGTCAACACCAGTCGGTTGGATTGATAGGATCGATACGATTTTCTAAATAAATTTTGTTATATTTAAAGTTGTTTTAAATAAAATTACATACTTAAATAAAACAGAGATTTATAAATTATTTATCACTTAGTTTAAACATTTGCATTAATAAACTGCTTAGACATCTAAGTAACACATTTTATTTAAATTTATTACAAAAAGTACTCTATATATATATATATTAAAATATATATAAATTAAAATCTAAACAAACAACAAATGATTTATTAAAATAGCTTGATCGTTTCAATGACGGTCCAGTTCTGAAAACCTTATATTTACTGTTCATTAATAAATATTATAATAAAATATTTAATTCACATAAATCTTAATAAAATGATATATAATTATTCATAAATCATTAAACATGTTGTCATAAAAGTAATACGACTATTTGAAGTTTGGACTACATCGCATTCACGTAATAAAATATTTTCAATATAAAATTTATATTTAGGTTCAATAATCGATTTGGTGTGTTCGAACTGATACATAACTTAGTCACCTGAGACCAACCAAATTGTGTCAATTTTTTTGACTATTTTAAATATCACCTAAAAGTAGTTCAATCAACCTGGACAGGACCCTAATTCAATCACCCGATTGATCTGAAGAAATTTTCTTATTTTCCTTAAATATATTTAATCTTATGAAATAAAAATATTTTATGATTCATATAATAAATGTCTACACCAAATGATAGTATATTAAGATTATAAATTATATATCTAAAGATGAATTAATTATTTTTATTTTGTGCATATTAATAAAAAATAAACATAGTAATTTTAAAAAAGTTAAGATTAATTGATTGATTATGCAATTTAAAGAATATTTTTAACGTTTCAATATTTTTTTTAAAGACACAAATATAAAGACCGAGATTCTAAAACTTTTGTTATATTTTAAATTGAGATTTTATAAATATAGAGACCGAGATTTTAATGTTGTTCGTTGTTTCTAAGAAAAAAATAAAATAAAAAATACACACTTAATAAATCTTATCCAAATTTTTTAAATAATAACATGAACTAAATCCCGAAATTTAAAGTAGCATTTAATGAAGTATGATTTTTAAAGAAAAAAATAAGAAAAATAATAAAACTTACTATTTATAGGCTACATTAAATTCTGACCTATTTTTTTGCTACTATTTTTAATAAATAATAATTCTTATTATATATAGAGATTATTTACTAAGAATAGTATTAAAAATTTTTGGAATGCAATTTTTTTTAACAACTTTTTAAATATATGTATTACTTGTTTCTATATACACGTTTTCAAATAAGATCAAATCAAATATAATCAAAAATATTGTTTCTTTAAATAAATTTATTAATATTTGCAATAATTTCATTGATATCTATTATAATAAATTACAAAATTGATTTTTTGTGATTCATGTTGATAATATTTTGGGCAGGATAAATATTACACCATATTTTAAGTTCTAACCATAATATGTTTTTCACAAATATTCACTTTTTATCCAAAAATCTATATTTTATATATAAATAAAGAGAGATCCTATTTACCAAAATAGTAACAAAAAAAATCAACCAGCATTTATTGCATTCTATTTTTGGAAGTTTTGAGTTTTCTTTTTAAATTATTCCCAAAAAATAGATCAACAATATATGCACCCTAAATTCATGGGTTTTGTTGATTTAATTTAGGTAAAATTCGATTTATGCTTACAATTTTGCAAAAGTAAAAATTTTTTCTCATTTTTTATTTAAAAAAATATTGATTACTGTAAAATCGAGAATTTAGAATTAGGCAAAATACTATCACATATATCTTTTCCTAATTGCAACAGATCAAATATTTATTAAAAAGAATCAGATAGTGTAGATTTTTTCGGCATGCCAATTTTGTAAAAGTCAAAATTCTCTCATTTTTTATTTAAAAAAATACCTTGAAATTTTGAATTAGGCAAAATACTATAACATGTATTTTTACCTAATTGCAACAGATCATGTTTATTAAAAAAAATCAGATTGCATAGAAATCATGCACAATTTCAAATTGAGAATTAAAATTTAAAAATCCCTTATCATTACCACTTTCTTTAGTTCAGATTTCTTTTAACATAAAACAGAGTTAGATAATATTAATTTGAAAATCAAAATAAAATCGGATTGGAACATCCTAAAAGTTTGGGTTTTGTTTAATCCTCTAGAATATAAATTTGAAATTGATTGCATACAATTACACAATTTTTCTCTTCCTTAAATTAAGTAATTTACAATTTTAAAATAATAAGGCTATAGATATCAAGAAAGACGTTTTACAATCTATGTTATATTTGGCTATGCAATCTTTATAAAAGCAGTATAAATCATATCATATATATATCCTGTTAAATAATTTAATTGATTTATTTAAGTCTATCTAGAATCCTATTATAATTTGTGGCGATAGACGATGTACCAAAAGACCAAACAAATAATGTTGTGTTCAAGGATTCATTTAATAATGTATAAGTTACATTTTGTTTTATTCCAATACATGCGTTTTACGATTATTTCAATCATCCAATCATCCAATCTAAATGCTTAACTTAATAAAACTAGCTCGTTGCGTCGCACGAGTACCGCACTAGTTGTTTATATCAAGAGGAATTTAGAATTGAAAAATGTAGATTTGAGGCATACTTGAATTGAAATGAGCGGTTCCCATTCCACAATTGGAATTTCTTGTTTAAAAAAATTCCGGTTCTGGTTCTGCGTTTTGAGGAACATTGAATTCAATATGAATGTTTTATAACAATTAACAAAACCGCAAACTGTGGTTATGTTGAGATGACATTAAAAAATGAAATATTGTTGGAATTAATTGAGCTGTATGTATTGAATTAGTTATATTCTATTTTAATAACCATGTGAAGCTGCAAGTGGGTGANTTAAATACGTTTTTTTTAAATAATTTAAAAAAGAAAATCTATTAAATAAGTATTTTAGAAATACATTTAGAAATTGTAATATAAAAAAAGTAAATTTATATAACGTATTCTCAGAATACGTTTTACAATTAAATAAAATTAAGACGTATTTTGAGAATACGTTTTACAATCAAATATATATAAAAATAAAAATAAAAATTCTTCTTCTCCATTTCACTTACGCTTAACAGAGAGCGGAGAAAGGCGAGAAAAATTGTTCGAAAAAAAAAAAAAATCCGATCCCATCCCCACCCTGGCGCGAATCGACAACAGTGACACGAGCTTCATTTTCGGTTAATTCATTCGCATGAGGTATATTGGCTTATCTCAACTTTTTACATTGTTTGGAGATTGGGAATTGTTATAGTATGCTTGAATGTGGTGGTGTTTGAAGATTGAGAATTGTTAATTGTTTATCGATTATGTGTGTGTTGAATTGGAGATTGGAATTTTTTTGTAAATTGTCGATTGTGTATTGGTTGGCGATTGGAATTTTTTTGTAAATTGTCGATTGTGTATTGGTTGGTTGTTGTTGGGCTTAGGGTTTTCAAAATTAGGGTTAGAATTAGGGCTTTCAATTTATCCGAAATATAGATGAATTTTATGTTATTATTGATTATGGGTATTAGGGTTTTGGAGGATTATTTGATTGGGAATATTTATTTTGGTTTTTCGTTTGAGTAAATAATTGAATTTTTTGGGTGTTGGATTAGACATTATGTATTGTTGTAATTGGGAAGAATTGAAAGTGTCTTTTTGCAACAGGTATAAATGGCGTATTGGGTCCATACATTGTTAATTTGTACTGGCATTTTGCGAAAGAAAGGTTAAGCGAATTTGTTTTATTTAAAGATCGTCCGAATGGTTCATTTCTTATTCCGGGGAGGATATCATATGAACAATTGGTAGAAATGATTAATGAAAATTGTCGGTTTGGAGAATGTTGGACAATTCAGGAGATTACTTTAATAGTTAGCCAACCTGGTGGTTCATTGAATTTCTTAAGACTCAATAACGATAGTGTTCTTCAGTATATTTATTACCTTCCTCCTATGTCTATGGTGTATTTGCATTTGTCGTTGGAGGCAATTACACCGGTTATACAGGTTGAGGATGTGTGAGGATGTTACAGGGGAGTGGTTGATGTTGAGGGTACGTCGACTTCGCATCTACGTAATTTTGGAGAAGGGACAAGCTCAACAATGCAATGGAAAAATGAGAACTGGGAAGAAGAAGAATGCGATGAAGATTTCATTTCTGGTGAAGATGATTTCACAGATGTGACCTCCGAAAGAGAATCAGACAGATCGATAAATGAGGAGAGTGAACCCGAATTGATTGAAGAGGAAGACCCTCTTCCTAGTGGTGGTCGCCACATTTATCGCAAGATGGGTGAATGGGAGCTATCGAAGATAGATGAGAATGAGTATGCTCTTCCAGTTTGGAAGGGCGACATGGAGACCATAGTTTGGGTACAGTTTTTAGAAGCAAGGAAGAAGCACAATCGGGTATCTTAGCTTGGAAAGTTGATAGGTTGAGGGCGGTTCGGACAACAGATTCTAATCAAAAGTCATACAAAGTGGTCTGCAAATCTAATGAAGTTGAACCTTGTGTGTCGAAGGCTCGGGTGACTAAGAAACGGGTTCGAGAGAAATGACCACAGAAACGTAACCGCCCGTATGATTTCAAA